ACAATTTTTTTCGTGGTAGCTAGAGGGCGCTATTTGACATCATAACAGATATTGCGCTTTTGCATAAAAAAATTTAAATGGGAGGCTATATTTCTCTTTACACAGTCAAATAGAGCACAAAATTTCCAAAATATCAGCGCAAGCCGCAACTTTCTACCTTCTCTTTAACCGGAGATATTAAGAGAACAAATTATGTTAGGCTGCCGCTTAGGATTATATGGTCTAAAAATTATAGTAGTAGGCTTGAGGTAAATTGGTTACGTCAAAATATCAAAACGATATTTTAATTTCATTTTAATACCATTTAATTGTTATTTATCCATGTTCGTTCTTAATTCGACCAAAAGCGCAATATCTCTTATGATGTCAAACAGCGCCCTCTAGCTACCACGAAGAAAATTATGGAAACAAAATTTATACTGAAGATCATTAAGGAAGAAAAGCGCTTTTAAACGAGCCCTAGTTTGTTTAAATCGGGTAACCTAAATCAGAGTTATCCTTATTTTAATGAAAGCAAGTTTAACCTTCCCCCACCACTTTATTTTATAAGATAGAGCGAAATACTCTATATCACAAAAATTACAAATTTCTCGATGATTCTAATAGTAATATTTAAAATACCTGTTCACCTGCATATTTTTGAGAAAAACCCTGTTTTCTGATTGGCTATCAAGGAAGCGCCCCCTAGCGGACATTTTTTGAACTTGAAAATAATTTCCAGCGATTTCTCTTAGTCGATTTACTTATTAGAATTTTTTTCCCAAAGTTATAGGATAAGTAGTTTCTGAGATACAGCCCGCGTCCATTCTTAGTTGGCCACCCGGTACGCCACTGACTTTTTTCTCTTATTAGCGAAATAATGTAAGCAGTTTAATGCCGATTAAAAGTTGTCTCTTGATATTTTGTCGATTTCGGCCTCCTTGACGAGATAAACGCAATTTTATTCATTTTCCTTGATCCAAGCATTAACTTGCGAAAGTTTTTAATAAGTACTCATTGATTCCTCATCATTTCTTTAGACTTAATCGAAAAATTATTTTTTCCAGCAATGCGGTACAAGGCAGAACACCAGCAACCAAAACAGTCACTCAAACGAAATCTTCCGAACTCTGGTGTGATAGCTGATGGAGAGAGGCCCTCTAGCGCTGACTTATTTAGGTATTCCCGTTTGGTGGACTATCGTATTGTTTGTGTAAATACGTTATATATCTTAATTTTATTTCGAAAAAAAGAGAAAATTTTCAGTTTTTCAACCGTCTTGTCGAAAAAAATCCGAATTCGTTTGAGCAAAAGTGCCCGTTTTTTGGAGAATTACCGTTAAAAAATATGAGTAATTAAATTTAGCTGGGTCTTTTTTTTATATTGTAGCGAAGTTTAGAGCTTTTAGAAACACGTTGCTTTTTGTATTTGTATCCGTCTCTTTAAAAAAAATGTGTCGGCGAGTTACGACATGGCAAAAATTAGAAAATAACAGTATATGTTCTGTATTTCAGTAGTTATATTGCTGTTTTGGCTTAGTAAGTATTTAAAGGGGCTAAATCAGGGCTAAATCAAATATTTGAACTAATGAAATTCTCTTATAGTGGTAAGAAATACCGGGTGTACCAGTAATCCGTCGGCATATAACTACTATGTCATTTTGGAATTAAAATAAGTTAATTTAACATAATTTACCTCTATAAATAGTGCATCTTTTGTTCGTTAATATTAACTAATTTAAAATTTATGAAGCTTATCGTCAAAGCGTATTTGTGGTATTGGCATTCGTCTAGTAGATTTTATCTTTTGACGTGTTTAATATTTTGAAGAGAAACTTCATTAAGCGCTCTGGGAGTAAAAATTTAAGGCCGTGACACACAAGCGCGAGACGAGAAGTAGTAACGACAACCTACGGCTTAGAAAACGTGTACAACAGTGAGCAGTCCACGTGTTTATCAAAAATATTGATGTTTTAATTGTTTATTATTCTTTTATTTGACGCGTATAAAACTATTTGTAACACGTAAAAACTATTTTTTTACACGTAAAAAGCTATTTGTTACACGTAAAAAACTATTTTTTTACACTTAAAAAACATTTTTTTTTTTTAATTTATTAATTACTTTTTCAATATTTCGAAGTATACTTTTTCAAACAAAAAATCAGGATTTTTCTTAATTATGGCACGATTAGAACCAAACTCGGCACGTGGATAGAGGTACCCGAATGGAGTCCTCAAGCAGACTGACGGACAAACGGTCATTTTGTTTTCAATTTTGTGAAAATCAAAAAAGAATCAAATTCTTTATTAATTTTAACATTAACTTTTTCAACATTTCAAACTACAGTTTTTCAAACATTTCCTTCAAATCCTTCATTTTAGTAGCTGTTAGTAAGAAGTTTTACTTCAAATATGCGCACATAGTGCACACATAATTTTTAGCCGACCAAACCAATAGGTATGGTAGGCTATCAAAATCGGCAAAAAAAAGTTTTTTTAATTTCATTCAAAATGAGTTATTTGGGTCATAAATGACCTAAATACAAAATATTTTCATGGTGTCTGTCCGTCTGTCCGTCTGTCCGTCTGCCGTTTGTAACACGATAACTCAAAAACCGCTGAACCGATTTTAACCAAATTTGGCAGAAAAATACTATGGCACCCGAGAATCTGGCCATTAGTTTTTGGCGAAACGTGGTTTTCAAATTAAGATAAGGAATAATATTTGCAACAAAATTTGTAATAACATCTAAATCAGTCAGTCGCAGTTTTCGAGATATTAACATATTTTAGTATGGGCGGCTATACGTGCCTCCCGGCGCCAATTTTTTTTCCTAAAAACAATGCGAGATGTCTTTTTTTACAAAAGACAAAAAAATTACCTAGTAATAATACTAAAAGGGTCCCGTTGAAGTAAAATAATTTTGCTTTAATTTATGTGGAGGTGATGATATTTTACATTCCTCTTTTCTGGTGTTTTGTAAAACAAATATTATCGCACTTAACTAATTATGACCTCAAATTTAATTCAAGTCAGAATATAGGTCTTAAAATACCTTAAAAATGTGTTTATGAAATGGAAGGTATAGTGAGAATCAACCTTTAAACGGACAAACAAGAAACTTCTGTATAGACGTACATTGTGTTCAGTTAACTTATTTTGAATCCAGAAATATGTAGTAGTTCTATTTCCGCAAAATAATAGGGCACCCTATATAATTTAAA